CACATCCTCGTCTCTGAACGTGTCCTCCAAGTCTGGTGGGCAGGATGGAGCAGGTGCGGGTGGTTCAAGTGGATGATGATCAGGCTCCTTGCTCACTCGAAGTTTCTTGTTCTGCGGGGCGGGGTCCATGTCATCCAAAATCTCTTTGGCGTCGTGCGCAGAGATACCCAAGGCTTTGGCAAGTTGGTTGGCCGAAGGCTTACGGCCATGGTTTTCCTCCCTGAGTGCCATCAGCAGATCAACGAATTGGTCTGCCCCAGAAGCCATTGGCGAGCAGCTTCAAGCTTCAGGTAGCCTTTGTATGCGTCCAAACTCTACAAACTTCTGGGCCAGGCATGAAACACATGAGTGCCCTTGTCTCCAAACGATGGAAAAAAATTCACGGGGCATCATGCCGATTCACGGGTACATCACGCCGAAATCACGGGTTTTTCACGGCCTATGTTTTGGAAGGATGTAGTTGCGCGTTTGCTCTCCCACAGGGCTGTTTTCCCCTTGCAAGCCATCAAGCGTCCAAACCCCCCATGAAGCCTATACAACTCACGCCCGCTCTCTTACAACGAGCTTGGCATATACAGTGTCCAAAACATCCTTCCATGCCTCTGGCGGTTGGAAAGCTCGGCTTTGCCTCACGTACCTAATCGCATCCATGCAACCAGCCTCAGTTTGCCAAGCACACATCAAACAGCTACGCGTCAACAGAAACTTATAAGCTCCCAACATCCTTCCAAAGATCCACTTCTGCCCAGGGAATCCCCTGTCAAAGATTCGAGAGGCAACACCAACACACCTGCAGCAAAACCATGAGTTAAACAAACCCAACCTCTAACAGGGCCACGTCAGATGTTTCATAGATCTTCTCATCGCCAACCAAAGGAGCTTTGGGGAGCACCTGGTACAAAGGCACGCTCATGAACCATTGTAACAGACCAGCCCCTTAAGATCCCCACAGGCCAGTCTCCAGCGTCCATCTCACTCTTGAGTTGGGCCAGGTGCCAGCCAAAGCGGGGGTGATAGGCCCTCAGCAGGAGAACCATGGCTGCACTAAGAACCATTGTATATGTCACAACCATGGACGTGTTTAATCGCGCCAAAGATTCTGAGACTCTTTCATCTCAGCTTTGTTTCCACTCCATGAATAGGTGCCATCTGCACGCTTCTGTTTTTTTACCAAAGATGGCCCACGCAACTCCGCCAATCTTTCAGCGCTCAAATATCCGGCTGCAGCTTGAAGGCGAGAAAGCAAATGATAGTCTTGCGAATACAAGACGTGCCGCTTCGGAGTGGAGCGTGTTGCGTCTTGACAATAAGCTCCGCCCCAGATCGATGCCTGGTACAATCCAAGCTCCCTCAAGAGCACCTCCAGCCGAGGGTGTTCACAAGCTAAAGATCCCTGAGGCTGCTCAATCAATACCCTGCAACCCTGGCTCAGAGAGTAGTAGGTAAGAAGGGCAACCACCGCCGCTAAGCGGTTGCCAAGATGGACAAAGGTAAAGCCTTCATTGCCACGTGGAAAGACAATGGAGCGTGCGTGGCTTCCTCTTGCCCTGAGCGCAAACAATCCCAAGCACAGTTCACCTGAAGAAGAACCATCATACATACTAAACCTTTGAACACGTGGTACCAAGTAGCGGAGCACAGAATGAACGGCATTCCAACCCCAACAGGTGCAGAGCGCCCACCCTGCTTCTTCGAATGCAGTTCAAGCAGAGCCTCAACATAGCAGGTCTAAGTCTTCACAAGTACACCTATGCACACCAAGGTCCCAGCAGCAGCCCTGCAGGCTTGAGGAAGTCCATGCTCTTGTCCAAGTCAATGTCCAAAGCCACTCCACAGAAGCCCGCCTCAGCAGTCACACTCAAGTGCAAATGAAGACAACGACTGACACAAAGCGTCCAAGCCCCAAACGTTTTTGAATTGAGCGCTGACATGTCCTTGTCCACTAAAGAACTCAACCCAGTCATATGCCTGAAGCTCAACACAGATGAACATGACAGCGTCAGAGGCACAAGCAAAGATCCAAGGCAAAGACTCTATCAGAGGACAAATCTGGGAGAAATGTCACATGAAGGACCAGGAGAATTAAAATCTCCGGGCACCTCCAGCTCAGCATCTCAGCAACAACCATCTTACTTACAAAACAAAGCCTTGAACAAAAATGCTCTGTCAAGCGCATGCAATGTTGCAGCTACAAGCACTCATGTCCCACGCATGCATGACACTACTACGCAGTCAGAGGAAAGGCGATTCCTTACATGAGCACTTTTCCCACTCAGCTCGTGGTCAGGCACCACAGGCGTTCCAATTACAGAGAGGCGCAGGGCTCAGCAGAACCGCCTCCTCTTAAGTTCACTCGGGGAGAGGCCGGAAAGGAGGTTGGAGCGATCATCGCTCAACATCCACATCTTGTTTGCTTCATGGTACTTATGCCCCTTCTTTTTGCAGTCTGCCAAGAACTGCTGTCTGATCTCAGCAAACTTTTTTGCCACATACACAGGCTCAGCCACCTTGTCACACTTTTCCTCTAGCAGGGGAGCCTCGCCGGGCAAAGGCTGCTCCTGGGAGTGCTGGGGTTCACAGGAAGCGTCCACCAAACACAACTCTCTTTCCATTTCCTCATCAGCTATCACCTTCTTGGCCTTCTTTGAAATCTTTTTAGGCTTTGCCTTGGCCTTGGCCTTTTTTTGCTTGGACGACTTGCCGCCATCAGGCTTCACATCCTCATTTTTCACGTCCTCATCTCCTGCCGTAGTGGCAAAAGGAGTCACCGAGACCACTTGTTTCTCCAAAGCTTTAAGTACAAAACCTGGCAGTGGCCTGCTTGAGCGGGCGTAGCAACAGGTTTCTCTGACACCACTGCGTTGTCTTTCTCCTTTGCAGCTGCATTTGAAACCAAGCGCTTCTGCACCAGACCGCTGAGCTTAGCCCAGTCAAAGTCCAAGTGCTTAGGCGGCGGCGAAACAAGCTGCTCCATGGTATCAGGACTCGCAGCCTTCTGAGGCTCCACAGGCTCCATGTCGGCCTCATCTGTCTGACCTCTTTTGGCCCTCGGAGGTGGTATGATCTCTGCGCGTTGAAGTCACTTCAACTCCTTCAAGCTATTGCTCTTGGCATTCTCAGGTGTCTCGCAGTAAATACGCCTGAAGCGCTGGACAAGCTTCCTAGACGCCATAGCCATTTTTGCTGCCCAGGGGGCAAGAGCTTCTTCAGTGACGCCTACTGGAACCAGGTTCTTCTGTCGGTAGAAGCTCTTGATGCCCTGGCTCAACAACTCCTCCGATAGCTTTCGCCATGGCGTCACCTTCATGATCGCAAAAATGACCTGCCCACATAATTACTCAAAGCAAGGGTAGAAACCAGATTGAAAAACACACACTTTGCGCAATCAAGGAACTTCTGTGTTCTTTTCACAATCCTTCAGTGTGCAAGGGTTCTTGCCAAACAGCTCCGCCGAGTGTGCAGTGACAAAGGTAAACCCCACCTACACCGTGAACACATGAATCAGCGTGAAAAGCCGTGAAACAGCGTGAAAAACCATGAAATAGCGTAATCTTGCGCTCCCTGCACAGTCCAAATGTATGTATATATACACGCCTCTGACAGCCGGGCTTCTTGCGCAAAAGCTGCAGCATATTTATCTGCTAGGTCAGGGTCTTCGCTCAAAGACTTCAGCAGCTTCGGCATGATGGCAAGCTCTCACAAGCCCAAACAGCTAAAGAAACAAGAGTTGACAAATAGAGGTAATACATACCCTTCAAAAAAAGCTGCGCAGCACACAGGTCACTGGTTGAAGGAGCGCTCACAGAGTCCCACCAGCAATGCTTGTAGAACTTCACCTGCCATGGGATCACACACACAAGCTCCATGAATAAGGTGGACCTTTGCTGAGCTCCAGACAGCATGTCATGGGTTCACCTACTGCCATGAACAAGTTGACGAGTAAAGTTTACTAATGATGGTTTTACGTACACGCATTCATGTTTCCATGGAAGCCATGAACATGTTCTTTACATGTAACATGTTTACATGTCACATGGTTCCGTGTGACATGTTTACATGAAACATGTTAGCTATAGAGTGTTTACATGTAACATGTTTACATGCATGGTTCCATGTTCCCATGTCTACAGGTTTATACTCTACATGTACATGTTGGCATGCGTGCATGTACTGAGGCCCGGACCATCTAAGCTTCGCGCCCACCTGAAGCAAGACAAGACAAGCGTTGCAAATCGCAAAGCAACACCAAGCTCAACACAGACGGCCATAATGAACACCTCGGCCAGAAAAACGTGAACCGGCATGAAAACCCGTGAATCAGCGTGAAAACCCATGAGCCAACATGATCCCCCATGAACATGACATGCGCACGCATGCATGCTTTGGCCCCGTGAACTAACACGATCATGCGCGTGTCTTTTTTTACAGCGGCGCTCTGCCAGTCACTTGCGCCCACAACCTTAGCTGAAGCTGCAGTGCCCTCTATATAGAAGACAACGCAAGCGTATCTAAGCCATGCACCCAGGATGGGTGGACATCAGCCTACCTGGCGCTAGCTGCGAGCAAGGTCACACACTTAGCACGCAGCCTGTCTCCCTTGGCCTTCTCCATCACCTTCTGATCGGCGGCGGCGGTGGGTTCACAGCAAAGTATCCAGTCGTGAACCTGCAAGCAAGTGACACTGCCGCAGTGCATGTTCATGCTCTCTCAAGCCAGCCTCCAAACCCAAGGCAAGGCTGGATCTTGCTCTTCCTCATCCTCAATCTCAATCGGCCCAGAAGGCCAAGGAGCTTGAGCAGCTGCTTTTGGAGCTGGGGCTGGTTTGGCAGCTGCCTGTGCCACAGGCTTCAGAGGTGCTGGTCTGCTCTTGGGCTTCCTGTTCGTGACAGCTCGGAGCCATTCTACCTGGAGGCAAACTTACAAACAAAATTGGCAGGCCCAATCGAAAAAGGGCCTTCTTCTTGTCACCATCAGGGACGCACAGCGTCTTTATGTAGGTGGTGCTCCAACGAAGTATTTCAGGGTTCGACTTGCTGCTACTGGCCTCGCGTCCAGCATGCCCAGCACACAGGCAAAGCCTGCAAATTACCTTGCCTGCGCCTTTGCCCTTGCTCCCTTCTTCTCTGCCTCCAGAGAAGAGATCATAACTGTCAAAGCCAAAGCACACACGACAGTCCCAAGCCTTTAAGTCCTGCTGCTCAGGATCTTTTACTGTCTTCTTGTGGTTCACCATCGGACCAAAACAGCTGCAGAAAGAACCAACATGTAACATGTTTCACATGTGGTGCGTGAGCCGCCCATGCTACACTCAAAGCAAATGAAAGGCAATTGAGGCCAGCGCAAGTCTGCTCGCCCGCAATCTGCTACAAATCTCCCCTTTAAGAGCCCAAGCAGCTCTATATGCACCAAACTGATACAAACCCTATTTCACTACAAATCTTGTTTAAAGCACTTGCCAACACATAACCAAAACAAAACATCAGGGGTGATTCTCACGA